TGCGGAGGGATTTGATTTGGGAAGGATTTGGATTCGGGATTGAACTTTGATTATAGATCGGGGATTTGAGATCTGAGATGGCGCGAACACTAGACAATAAGCAAAGAAACAGATTTCACAAATAGGGTTTTTAAGAGATAGTTTTCCCGCTAGGCGCCACGACGGAACGGGCGCTACAGCTGCCGAGCAACACCGCCACTGCGGATCGGGACACGCGAGGCGGCCATGCCACGGTCCCACCACACGGAGCGTCGCCCCGGCCGTGGCCGCTCACCTCCGCGTCGCGCCCGAGGCCCTTGAGGACCGCCTTCGCATGCGGAGAACGCCGCATGCGCCGCCCCCTCCTCCTGACATCTGCCCGCTGCCTCGGCCCATTGACGACTTCCAGCGAGGAAGCCGCTCGGCCGACCACTCCGCCACCAGCGTCGGGGTGAAAAGGGCCAGGGTGTGAGGAGAGCCCTGCCGCCGCCCATCATCATCCCGGTGCTGCGGCTGTCACGCCGAGAAGAAAAGGGGCGAGAGAAAGGGTTGATCGGATGAGAAGTGAGATAGGAAGATGATAGGTGGGCCCGTTTTATTCTTTTTAATTTATTTGATGACTGGGATACCACGTGGACCATCAGCAAAACCACCATCAAAACCGCTGAGGGGGTCTACCGATTTTAAGAGTTGGGGGAATGGGGGTCAAGATATCCGGTTTTATGGTTTAGGGTCACGGATTAGATTTAGGGTTACAAAGTGAACTTATTCCTTTCGTGACACAATCAGCTAAAAAACATAGTTTAGTGACACAGTTAGGACTGTGAATTGTACTCCTACCTATTGTGGGCCAATGTTGTACAACTAGGCCTCTCGTGATGTTACATGTGGGCTCGGCCACGTGTTTCCCGGACAAGACAAACAGGCCGGACATCTGGAATGCTGCGGCTCTTTACTCTACTCTTGGGCCTCATGGGATCATGAAATATCTTACTTATTTTTTAATTGTATTCGTCGTTTTAGCAAAATCTCACACTAGGAAATTTGGTAAATTAAATTGCTACTCTTTTTACATCATAACAATATTTTCGACGTGAGAGCACTAATACTAGTATGGTTGCATTAATGTTGGAAGAAAAAAACACCTTTACAAGTGGTTTGAGATATAAAAACGATAAGTATTTTAATAAAAATTTTAAATATTAGAACGGCAAATAAATTGAAACCGGTGAATACCTACTATTTAATGAAGTACCAGCTACACATTCTTCTCTGTTCTCACCTTATTTTATTCAAACTCTCCACTCATTTCTACGTCCTAATCTCACCTCTTATAAGTTAGGGTGAATAGTCAATATAGTCCCTCAAGTTTCATCGAATGCTTAATTTTGACTATATAGGTTATCTAAATATTTATTTTGGCTTAAAATCATTTTTTAACCTACTTAATATGTCACATGGCCATTTATAGTCAATATTCTATTAGAAACTGTTCTTTTTGCCGTTAATTTGCATACACCAGAAAAGAGAAAAACAAGATGAATAAATGGCACGCAAATGTAATTTCCATTATTTTAACATTATCTATTGTATACACTTAGAACTACATAATTATTGTTGTTTTACATAAGTTATTATGCATTATATATATAAAACGTCATGTATGTTCAAAAGGAAGTTGAGAATTTAGGGGGTTCTCGTCATACAGTTTCATTGAATGGTAAAGCTTTTTTGTTTTTTTTCTCTTATATATGTCAATGAGGCAGGAGGTATAAGATCGTTTATCAAAAGAGCTGTTGGTTCTGTTTAGACATGTGGCTTTTAAGTGGCTCCAAGGATAAGCATGATCTCAAATGTAAACTTAAAGGACCAGTAATATAAATAGATTGAAACATGAAGGATCAAACCGAGCCTTACATGAAAATCGGAGGACCATTTTGGCTATTTACACTATAATTATAACCCATTTGGCAAATAAGATATCAGTACTCTATGCTCTCTGTTAACAAAAAACAGAAAGGGAGAACTAAGCATGGGTTTAGATTTCAGATGGTGTTTCAGCAACGAAAAACGTGTAGACAACTTTTCAATAAAAACTTGAAAAAATGCATTTTTACTCTCTCAAACTACTATTTTATTATATCACTAAAACCCTTTAACTATTTTTGGTTTATTTTACCCTGAAGCTATTTATAATGGTTCACTTTACTCCATAATAACTTTTTTTAATCTTTTTTCACTTTAATGATCAGTATTTCAAGAGCCACAGATGACACCCCTATCAACGTTCAAAAATATTTTCAATCTTTCACGACTATTTGATTGAATTTTTAAATCTTGTTGTGTAAATTAGTTTTAGTGCTTCCAACCTATATAAAAATGACAACTTCATTTTTTTTTAAAAAAATGAGACGTAAGTTGTTTTACATCTGTTATCATCCTATAGTGCAAAATATAACTTATATAAGAAGAAATAAAAAAATATTTAGGAAGTAAAGTGAATCATTTTCAATAGTTTGATGTGTGAAATGAGAAAAAAAAGTTTAGGGAGTTATGTGCTATGTTAAAATTCTTTGAAGTGTAAAATATATTTTTCCCAAATTTAAGGTATGGACATTTGTGCCACCATTTTGCTCGCGTGCACACGTGCCCTTCCTTTAGATGGTTGAAATATTGTTGGAACATCAAACACCCTCGCAGACATATAAATTGTCAGGTTCAAGGCCTAAATTTGATACGGGATGCTCGTATTTTGCAGCTAATTATTTTTTATGCTAGATAATATACTCATCGACAACAAGACATCTGTGGTAATTTTATCAATCTCAAGATATACCGGCTCAGTCTTCCGGTGGTGTTTATAGAGATAGGGTATGCGTGTTGTGAGCGCCTGTATTTGTACGGTGTTTCTAAAAAAAATTGCCACGCACATTTGTATTCACAGGACCTTTTCAAATGCAGGAATGGTGAAACACATATATAGGAAAAACATGATTTTAGTATTAGTGTATGTATAAAAAGAGGATTAGAAAGCATAAAAAAGGAAATAAATAGCTACTTGGATAGCATAAGGGAAAAAACTTGGAATTGGATGAGTTATGAGATATGATCAAAAGAAAATTTTCATGAGGTCTTCAAAATCTTCATGCATTGAGTCATTCCAATCAGGGGTAGATTGGAAGGTCGTGACTCGTTAGCTCATTCGGCTCGCGACAAGCTCTGCTCGGCTCGTTTGATTTTCCTAACGAGCTGAGCTGGCATTTCAGCTCGTTAGAGATAACGAGCCAGCTTGAGTCGGCTCGCGAGCCTTAACGAGCCAGGGCACATGAGCTGTGGGCCTTTGGAATTGGATTTTGGCAGAGAATGGAGGCCCAACAGCCCAACTCGGTAGCCAAAAAAAAAACCCTAGTGCGCGTGGCCGATCCATCCTCTTCTCTCGTTCTCTTCTCAACTCCTCCCCGCCGCCAGCCCGCACCATCGTGTCCTGCCCGCGCCACTCTCCCCCAGTGAGGCAGAGCCGCCACCCGCGCCACTCTCCCGGTCTCCCCCAACGCTCAACGCGGCCGCGGATGCCGCCGCCCGCGCCGTTCTCCCCCAGCGAGGCAGCGACCACCGCCGCCGCCCACGCCACTCTTCCCCGGCGCTCGGCGCCGCCGTGGATGTCGCCGCTCTTCCCCGGCGCCCGACGCCGCCTTGGATGTCGCCGCTCACGCCGCTCCCCAGGCGCCTCTCCTCCCCTTTTCGCTTTCTCCCCAAAGCTCACGAGCTAAACGAGCTAGCTCGAGCTTGCAGACAAGCCGAGCCGAGCTTGGTTTCTAACTCGTTAGGATAACGAGCCAGACCGAGCTGAGCCAACTCGACATCCACCCCTAATTCCAATGGAGTTTCATATAATTTTGAAAGCTCCAATCCTTTGGTCCAAAAAACCAACTAGGAAAATTTTCTACATGAGTTAAATGCTACATTTTCCCCCACAAAATCCTTTGTTCGAAAATTGGTGGACAGAAGTACCGAGCCCAAGATACGAACATTAGTGAGTAATGTGCATAACAGCACCCCTCTTCTGTATTTCAAACGCCCATATTTCTTTGTTTTACATCCACTTTGTTTTGATTTTTCTAGATTTTCTTTATTGTTATTTTTGTCTTCATGTTATCCGAACCGACCATTTCGTTTCCCTTATGGCATATTAGCAAACGAAAAATAATTGGTAAATAAAATTTTTATATATGTGTTCCTAGTGATTAAAAAATAAAGGTTGAAAAATAAACTTCAATAAAAAAATAAAAAATAACTTTAAATTTAAAATTAAAAATTTAAATTTTATCTAATAAATATAAGTATAAGCGAGAAAAGATGAGCCCGTATGGCGAGCACCTTCACGGAAGAAACCAAAGGGCGACTTTAGCAGAAGAAGGTCAAGACACTCTTCTGTTCCGTCACGGCGACTGTAACACCCCAGGAAATTGCTCTGTACTACCTGCTAGCACGTTTCCCGTAACTTCGAAGAAATTTCGCAAACGGTTCACACTCCACGAAGTTATAACGGCGTAAAATTCATCTTCCTCCTCTGGGGCTGCTGAGCTGACTCCATCGATCCATGCTGCGGCAGCAAAACCTCATGAGCCAAATTAGCCCATGATAACCATCGATCTCCATCACTCACCTGAATTCACGCATCTGATGGGCCTCAGCTGCTCCGGATCCTTTCTGCAAAGCTGATCGCTGCCCCAACACAGGCACTAACATAACTGATTAACTGGAATACTGGATCTCTATTCTCCTCGGTCTCCGTTAGGTTCCCGTCAAAACAGGCAATATCATTCCCCACACCACAAGGCCTCAAGTAATTCACAGTTTTCTGCAGCCGACGACCGCTGTCACTGTCCCAGTGTCCGCCCACGCTCCATGAACCCATAAAACGTGCCGGGGGAAACCCGCAGTCCTCGCGCCTCTGTCCCCGTTCGCTGGCCGAAGCTCCGCCGTCAGACATGACGCCTCTGCTATGCGGGTTTGCCCGTGGGATTCCGGCGTCGCTGATCGTCCTTCCAGTTCCCGGAGTACTACGCATCACATCCCATGATCCCGAGAGGCTCATGCTGTCAAATTGTCACGGTCATTTCTGCTCGCCTCCCTGTAACGGCGACGACGCGCGATGCCCGGTCAAACGCGTATTCCCGGGGAAAAAAATGAAACAAACACTTTCCCGGAAAAGAGAACGCGGAAACAATCATGTTCTATTATGCAGAGTAAAGACTTATATATGCAGAGGCATGATGCCTGCTGGGCACTCTCTGAACTCCAAACATCAGTAAGCTAGATATCCCTTCCTACGCCGAAGGCAGAAGCGTCGACGATGTCGAGTCTCCGCAGGGAAGCTCCACCGATCTCTGACTACGAGGCACTAGATGGTTCCGGCAAATGCACCGACGAACCATCATGCTCCTCGGATCCTAGCAAAGACAGCTCGTCGTGTACATCGGCCTTCGCCTTCACCATCCTTGCCATCAACTGCGGCGCAGCTATCTACCATTCGCGGCGTGACCCCTGGTCAGTCGCGTTTGTGTTGGCCGCCTTCCTCATGCTCATCTCGCTCTTCTGCGCGCTCCGCTTGTTCGAGAGCTTGCCTCGCAGCTCCCCCCGCAGATCCCATGTCAAAGCCGGTGTTTGGGTCCTTTCCACGGTGCTCACAATCTTGTTCACCTACAGAGTAGCTGCGCTTATGCCTTTCCCAGTCGCCGTTGTCGTGTGGGCTATGTCCGTCTTCACAATTCTTGCAGGATTCTACATGTTCTTCGTTTGCAGCGACGAGGTCAAGGCGGCGCCAGAGGAGAGGCCGGCAAAAGTGTCTGACATGGCTTGAGCCCTGGGGCCCTGGCTGTGCAACCCCTGTGGAAACGTCAGTGCTCCACTGCTGGGACCCGAGACGGAGACGCCGGCAACATCATAATTCCCCAGCAGTGTGTGTCCCGATTGCACAACCGGAACAAAAGGGATTGTGAAAAGATCGATTCCTCAGCTGTGATTGCAAGTGCTCCTCCACCCTGCGCAGCTGTATGGTTTTGACCGAGTTTCAGGACCAAAAACGGTTCCTCCACCCTGTGCTGATTCACCGGTAGTTCCTGTTGATACAGTATCTTCCAAAGCCTCTGGTTTTCAGAATGATCAAAGGAACCACAGAAGATACACTAGGGCTCGGATTACAGTACAACCTGTAACTTTCCAGTTTCGGCCACAAATTGTTCCGAATGATGTCATATGTAATATCCTGAAAAATTATTTGAAGTCAATAAGTACTTTCGATGTACCTGTTCCTTTCTAGTGTCAACTTGGGTGATCCGTGCAATTGCGTGCCTAGCACCCATACAAAATTATCTATATTTTAATATGATTTTACTTAAAATTTATTAAGTAGTTATCTCGTTATCTTAAAACTTTGAAAGACCAATCCTTATCATTCCCGTATTTCTAATTTTATAGTTTTTACTAAAAGTCACACCAGTTGCTACGCCACTTTTGTCACCCCTTCTTTATTTGTATGCTCGATCTATCACTGTTTCTATTCATTCTTCTTAGAACCTTTAAAATTGGACCTTATATTGTCACATTGGTTTTGTTTTTATAATTTCGAGAAGTCCCGTCAAATACTGTTATTATAAACCTCTACGACCCGTCTACTGCCTTATCTCTTTATTATCATTGGGATTTTTAAAAAGCGAACATAATTATCGTTTGGGTCCTTGTTTTTACTTTCTAGAAGTCCCGCCAAACCGTCAGCGGCTTTGCCACCGTATTACTCTACGGCTTGCCCGTTGCCTCCTCTCTTTATTGTCATTGAGATTTTAAAATCGAACATGATTATCATTGAATTTTAAAATTAGATTTTGTAGTTTTGAGAGTTTATTATCTTGTTGGGTTTCATTTTTATAATTCTGAGAAGTCCCATCAAACACTGACACTATACTCCTCTACGGTCCATCCGCTGCCTCCTTTCTTTATTGTCACTGGGATTTTAAAAATCAAACATAACTATCGTGTGGGTCAATTTTTTTACTTTCTAGAAGTCCCGCCAAACCATCTGGGGCTTTGCCACTGTACTGCTTTACAGCTCATCTGCTGCTTCCCCTCTTTACTGTCATTAAGATTTTAAAATCAGACATGATTATAATTGGGTGTTTACCTTTTACTTTTTAGAAGTCCTGCCAACCGTCATGACCGTATTGCTTAACAACATGTCCGTCGTCCCTCCTTTTAATAGTCTTTGGAATTCAATTTGGGGTTTTGTTAATACTTTTTAGATGTCCCATCAACCATCACCATTCTACTCCTTTACAGAACTATTACTTATCTCTTCTTTAATGTCATTTGTCATCTGTGTTATAGATGTTTTTTTTTGAAAATTCCATATTTTTCATTCGATATTTTTTATTTATAAATTATTTTTCTACTTGAACTCCTATAATTATTTATTTGTTTTCTAAATTTATTTTATTTGTTCTTCATAATTTATTTTATTTTCAGAATTATTTTGTTGCTGTCTGGGCAGTAACAGGCTGCATGTACGGGGTACGCCTAATGGGCCCCACCCCTCCCCTACCTCCGTCGCTCCCTCCTCTCCCCCCTTCCTCCTCTCTTTTTTCTCTTTCTACTACACCATAAATATTTAAATTTAAATTCAGAATTGAAATGGGTATGTAAACTTTTGACTTATAAACTTTGGGTCTATAAACTAATATTTGAATTCAAATTCAAATTTGAATCGGTTATGTAAACTTTTGACTTATAAATTTTGGGTCTATAAACTTCAGGTGTATAAACTTTAGATGTATAGAAATACTATATATAAAAAATATTTGAATTCAAATTCAAATTTGAATCGGGTATGTAAACTTTTGACTTATAAACTTTGGGTCTATAAACTTTAGGTGTATAAAATTTAGATGTATAGAAATAATATATATATATATATATATATATATAATATTTGAATTCAAATTCAAATTTGAATCGGATATATAAACTTTTGATTTATAAATTTTGGGTCTCTAAACTTTAGGTGTATAAACTTTAGGTACATAAATTTACTAAAATAGGAAAGTAATGCGGTACCAAAAAAGAAAACATAGAGGGAGGGAGGGGGGGAGGGGGGAGGCGATCGCTACCCCATAGCCAGGGCGATCGATCGCCTATTAGAGTTTCCGGCATGTACGTGCCAACTTTGATGCCCTTTATCAACCATCAATCAACCAAACTAATAATATATATCCTCAGTCCACCATATATATTTATCCATAAACGTATATACAGATGAGGCCTTGTGTTACTGTTGTATTCGTGGTGTCTGACTATCTGTATACGTGTACCATAGATATTATTAAGAAAAACGTATACTATATAAAGAAATACATGTAGTAGTAGCGAGACCTTGTCCGATTGAGTGTCCGGACATAACTCCAACATGATTTCTGTTTTGTTGCGTAGAGTAGCAAACTTTTTCTACCAAGTCTGAGTAGGATTAATTTCTCTAGATAGTTTCCTTTACTATAGATATCTAATCAATCTCAACGTTATAAAACAGACACATCATGATTTAACGGTTCATATTTTTCTCTTTTTCTTCGATTAATGTAGGAATTTCTAGCCTTCTCAGTGAACGTGATGTATTCTTTCAAAGCTGTCATAATAATATAATAGATAGATAGATAAATAGATATATGAACCTTACAAGTATATAACAATAACATAGATCACAGTGCAGTAAAACTTTTCAACAAATCGTCTATTTCACAACAAATTTCAATGCTAATTCAGTAAGATCAACTTTATGTTGATTAAACCATCTTTGTATTAAGGAGGAGATAGTTCTAACATCCGGCCATACTAACATACCGCCCAAAGAAAAATTACACGGATTCCTCCCAACCACCTTTGTGACCTAGCAGAGCTACCGCGCTTAAACTACCAGCTGGAGGCAGCTCGATCCCTGCAGCGACCCAAATCCGTGCTTCTTCGATGATTGAGTTGATTAGTAACGGCCAGCTTCGGGGTTCGTTCTTGAAGACACGACTGCTGTGGCCAGCTTTGGCCAGAATATTAATTATGTACACATCTGCTAACAAAAAGGATATCACACCTGAAAAGCCTACTTCCTCCGTTCTTTAAAAAAAAAAGCAAACCGTGGGTTCCCGTGCCAACGTTTGACTGTCCGTCTTATATAAATTTTTTTTATAATTAGTATTTTTATTGTTGTTAGATGATAAAACATGATTAATACTTTATGCGTGATTTATCTTTTTAATTTTTTTCATAATTTTTTCAAATAAGACATACGGTCAAATGTTGGACACGGAAACAAAGGTTTGTTTTTTTGGACGGAGGGAGTATTCCTGTACCCACATGTGTACTGTCACAGCTGACAGCACCTGCAATCCTAGATATATATCTGACTTATCCGAATAAGGTAAATGGAGCATTAAATATGGACGAAAAAAAATCCAATTACACAGTTTGCATGTAAATTGTGAGACGAATCTTTTAAGCCTAATTGTGCCATAATTTAACAATATGGTGCTACATTAAATATTTTCTATTGATAAATTAATTAGGATTAATAGATTCGTCTCGTAGTTTAAAGGCGGAATCTGTAATTTTTTTTATTAGTATACGTTTAATACTTCAAATGTGTATCCGTATACGTCGAAAATTTTTTTTTTCACAATGAACTAAACACGGCCGTAACCTATTCCTGTGTAACCCCTTTATTCCATTCCCACAAAGCAAGTAGGAACAGCTCTATGTTATACAATCCTATTCCCACCTTAAATCTACGAATTAAAGACCTGCACACCAAATATCTAAAGGCTGAACTCACTTATCATCTTGGGAGCATGGTGATTGTGGAAGCACATAAATGCTTGTGTTTTTTTGAGGGCACTCCTTCCAGGGTGCTGGACGTTCTCCGGATGAAAACTGAGGAGGCCCATCTGTGGTGATTGGCTGGGTCTAAAGTCCTCCCAACTATAGGTTAACTATGTCACCGGAGGTCATTCTTTGTTTGTTCCAGCCTTCCAGGCTCGTGTAAATTAGTGTGTGAAGGTTGTGTGGTGTGTGTGTTTTTGCAATTCAGCTCTCCTGCATGTTCAAGAGAAGAAGAAAAACCACAGAGAAAATGCACCATCTATCTAAAACAAGGCCCAAATCTCCTAAGCAGTAGACAGTCAAACAAGCCAAACCGTTGAAGAACATTTGTATATATAATTTTCACAACATGGATATACCTTGCTAGCAGGACGTGGCCGAACAGCATAGGACAGAGCCAGAGGCACCTCCAAGGCACCAAGTGTGTCCTCGGATCGATTCTCCTACAAACACAAAATTAAATTTTATACAAAAGGATAAGTGGTTTTACAACTTATGAAAAAAAAAACACAAGCGACACTGTCCTCTCAACAAGTTCAAAAATCCCAAACTTGTAGCTTCCTGCCTCTACACTTATGAGCAGAAAAGCAGATATGACAATAAGTAGAATAACGATAGAAGGTGCACTGTTTCTTTTTACCCCTTGAACGAGCCTAGAACTTATAGATGGCCAAAAGGCATGAGGTCCGACGGCCCGGCCCAAACACAGCACGGCGCACGGGCCTGGCCCGACCACCGGGCCATGCCTGGGCCCCTCCACCTGCACGGCATGATGGGCCGGCAGCCAGGCCCGATACACAAAAAAATAGGGGAGTAAAAATAGACATATTATATGCCATGGATGAAAGAATAGGGACGTAAAATAGACTTATTTTATCTATACATATGTCAGCCCAAAGAGGAGGGATGGAAAATAGACTTATTTTAACTATACATATGTAACAGCCCAAAGAGGAGGGATGAAAAATAGACTTATTTAAAAAAAGGCCCGATGGGCCACCCGTGCCTTCGAGCTGGCACGGCACGGCCCGACAGCTGGTGTGCCGTGCCTGGGCGGGAGGTGCAGCCCATAGGCCAGCACGGCCCGGCACGAAGTGCCGATCAGGCCGTGCCGGCCCGATGGCTTGTGGGCCGTGCCTTGTCGGGCGGGACTTTTGACCATCTATATGAGAACTAGGCATCATTAAATCGTTAACAACAAGGAAAGAGTGCATTTTTTTCAACTAGAGAAACATGGTGAGCTGTGAAGTTGAATGGTAGAAAACTAAAATAGAACGATACAACTAATGGCCCCTAAATTATAATAGGTCTGAAGAAACTTATTATTTTACACAGGCTGACAGTCTCTCTTTTTAAAATGGGAGTCACTACTGTGAGCTATTCATTTTGATAATAAAGGTTAAAGCAATTCAAAATACCTAGGACCAACATGGTCTCTGAAGGCTGTTCGTTGTATACATGCCATCGGAAGAATTACTATGTTTGGGCGTCCCACTCGGTGAAATGTGCAATGCAAGGAACCATGCAACATATTTCCTCCGTCCCAAAATATAAGGGATTTTGGCCGGATGTGATATATCTGGGAGCCTGTCCAGATTCGTAATGCATGCCACATCCAGCCAAAATCTCTTATATTTTTATGGAGGGAATAGTTTGCAACTGATTCCCTAAGGCACAAAATATGTCATTAAGTAGCTGATGAGTTACAGGATAATAAAAGGATTTAGACTTCAAGACAGCCTTAGTCTGGATAATATGTTGTTAAATTGATGTAGAATGGATCCTGTGGCTGAGATCTGGGTCACTGAAGGACGTCACAGTTATGCATGATATTGCTCCAGGCATGATCCAGGGCATTCTCAAGTAACTGCAAGTCCGGAACTTTGTAACCACATAATTTTCTCCCCTTTATCTTCTATGATAAAATGCACTGGTGTATTAGTGGATAAAAACATAAAGGAATAAATCTAATAACAAAGGATACAGGAAGTAAAAAAAAAAAAGAAGGTATGCTTCATCAACTATCTGCAATTACCCTATATCATTATGGCATGAGATGAAGATATGCTTCCTATGTTGAAAGTACAATCGTAGAAGCCGCATCACGCAGGGGTTGGAGAATCTATGCAATTTTACATTCCCAAAAGTGGACATATCGGCATAATAGAAAAAAGAGGCAAAAAGCTTCATTTCGAGACTTGAGTTCAATTTGTCTATGCAGATGTTTATGGAAACAGGAGCGATTGAAAACTAGAAAAGAAGGCTTTGATGAAACCAAATATGGGGATAAATCTATCTTTTAGATCCAAAATTTATTTGGTGGTCATCGATGTAGTTAGATATGCCTGATAACATACCAGTATGCTTTGCTGGAAGCTGTAGGAAGGTAGACTATGGAGACTACATAGCTAGACTTAAAAGGATCATTAGTGTTGAGATATCTCTTTGTCTAAAAGATAACTTTTGATATGGAGTTTAGTTCAGGAAAAAGCGAGAATAATACCACATATGATAAGCTGGAAATCTTGGCTCATATTCAAAACATTGTTGAAGGAAGTGTTCAATTGCTGCACTATGCCTTAAGTTGCCAGTGAAGAGGTCATATGGGTTTCTGAAAGGCAAGATGCTAAGAAAGGGCATGTAGCTTAGTGGTTGCAGTGACCTGAGTAGCACCCGAAGATCCTGAGTTTAAATATTTATAGTAGCGAATTTCAGATTGGGTTGTTTGAGGGGCTAAGTTCCTAATTTAAAAGGTTGTATATATCCGATTGGATATAGAGGCGGGGTAAAAATTACTCTTCTCTAGAAAATAATAATAAATAATAAAAAGATGCTAAGAAAAACCACGCCCTTTACTCTGGTACAAATCATAGTTCTAGAAAGAACATTTCTTACTACTTACTAAAATATGTTGATAGAAATGAGAAACTTTAATTATCCTCAAAATTATGACAAGACAAATGAAATGATGACTGTAGAAACATAGGTAAACCGATGTCTTCTATGATGTAGTTTTCAATATGGGCACATAATTATCTGTTCGGTAGGAATATGGAATCAATATATAAGTAAGGTTTTTATCCAGTTGTCTACAGCGCTGAATCTTCGTATTTACCTAATCTATCTATATTATATTATGGTATAAAGATATCTCAAAAAGGAGGCAGCATGTTTGTTTTAGAGGCTAGAAATTCTCACAATAATCGAAAAAAAAGAGAAAGATATTGACCGTTCAACCGTGACGGATCTAAAATATAATGGTGTAGATCAATTAATATAGTTGTATTGAAAATATAATTGTGTTATTTATATTAATAGAAAAGAAGCTAAGAGCTATGAATTCCAATCATACTTCTACAAACAAATGTATAGAAAATACAATTATATATATGGAAAAAATATGCTAAGAGTTGTATGCCAATTCCAATTCGAATTTTAAAATTCATTGTTTATAGATTACAATTATACTTTTGGAATCAAATGTTAATAGTTGTATGCCAAATTAAATTCTACTTTAGTCTAGCCCCGTGCAAATTGACGCAGAACAATATGCTAGTTTTAACAACCCCAGTACATACATGGTCCCTCTTAACCATAAAAATACCCCAAATCATTGTTCTGTCCACACTCATTACCAAAACTAACCATGAGTCTTTTTGTTTGTTTTCCCCAAATAGTTCCACAACAATTCAAACATGACGCCTTGAGAGTTATTTCGAGCATGGCACCTTTTGGCTTTAGCAGTGATGTAACTATCCAAATCAAGTTGTATAAGTACCCAAGCAAATTTATTGTACTATCACAAACCAAAAAAAATGGCAAATCACACGATGAATACAGAAACCAGCTTGCCCGACGACAAAAACCAATACACTCAGTACATATGCAATCTCAACATAGGGGAAGTTCACCGCACGATAGAGGATTATTTCCTCGAATCACGTCGGAATGTCGGATCAGCTCTGAATGGTGAATATATCAATAATTGCGTCGGATACTCGGATCTACTCTGAAAGCTGAATAAATCAACCAAAACCATCGAGTAAACCAAGATATGAGGCAAATTGTGACACCTAAAGTACGTATTGGGAATATCCCAAATCACCACGATCAATTCCGGGTCCTGCTTCCACTATCTGATTCAGCAGGATGCAAAATTCCACAAGACCACCAAGGAAAACAAAGATCTAATAACTTTTTAAAAAAATAAATCTAATTAATCGATCCTATCTCATGAACACGACTTTAATGAGGCAAAATCAACAGAAGGGAAGAAAAGGAGAAGGGAATCGCGGGAGCGGATTGTACCTGGACCCTGGACCCTGGTTGCTGCATCCCCTCTCGGTCCATCGATCCCCAATCGCGTATCGGACGGAGGCTTCGAGTAAATCCGGAACCTTGCACGAATCGGAGGTTTAATGTGTGGCCGGAGATGCTCCCCATGGCGAAAAGCAGAAAATTGCAATTATAGGACTCCAAACAATGCGCTTCGCAGTTATAGGACTCCAATCGTCGACTTCGCTAAAACGACCCTTGAAACGTTGGCACTTTATTTTACATGATATTCAGTCCTTTTAATCACTTTTCTTAACTAAAATACATGTGTTTTGCCCTAAAGTGACCGTATTGCCCTTCTGCCTTCTGCATACTTGATCGATCGTATCTTTTCATCTCGTCCGAGTCTACCGTCGTCGTTCCTCCTTTCCTCCCTATGCCGCCGTTCCTCCTTCCCTCCCCACGCCCTTGGCTCCCATAGATGGAGTGCCGCCGCCCGAAGATGGAGATGGACGCCCGATCGCCATGGAAGGCCAAGCAGCTGAGGACCTAGCGGCTTCTGCCCTAGCCGCTCGGGGTCTGGTCACGCCGCCTGGTGACCTAGGCTTTGATGCCTTGGCTGTGGTAGCCAATGGCCATGTACAGCAGAACGCCAACGCTAGTGCTCTAGCCGCTGCTAGAACATTGCTGCCCAATGCTCCTCTTCCGGCGGCAATGGAGTTCAACCTTCCTGTTCTTCAAGTGCAAAGGTATTGGCTGCACTGGATTTCTGTTTTTTTTACCACGATAGTAGTACACAGTAGTAAAACTTGATTGAGATCTCCTTATAATTGCGTATGGATCATCTTTGATCATCTTTCATTTATTCATTGGGTTAGTGCTGCAATTTTTGTGCATGATTGACCATGTACAGTACAATATTTGGGACATATGCAGCTGGCAGCTGCAGCAAGTTCAAGAGCGGCTAGCAGCTTACCAGCCATCCCAGGCGAGCCAGTGCTCTAGCCATGGACAGGCGCCGGCCGGCCAGCCATCCCAGGCTGCGGCCAGCCAGCCAGGCGACCAGCTAGCAGCGTGGGAGCACGTCAGTTGAAGCCCTGAGGGCAATACAGTCACATCAAGATAAAATACATGTATTTTAGTTGAGAAAGTGATTAAAAGGACCAAATGTCATGTAAAACAGAGTGCCAACGTTTCAAGCGTCGTTTTAGCAAAGTTGACGATTAGAGTCCTATAACTACGAAGCGTATTATTTGGAGTTCTATAATTGCAATTTTCTCGGCGAAAGCATCGCCCATGGGTTGGTGATGGAGTACTCGAACATCGAATTGGCTTCTTTGGGCAGATGGGATAGCTCATAGCTGTAGAAGATTCCGAGCAATTAAGGCGTTTGTGCTTTACACTTTCCTTTCTGTCAATCACAATTTGCAATCGTTGCATTTGCCATTTTCGTTGGATTGATAACAACTGCCAAGTAGGACTGATCGATGTCGTGGACGAATAGGAATAGGGAGAAAAGATTTTGGGGTTCAGGACGAATGAGGACTAGGAGGAAAGGTGTGGTTTTTTTAAAAAATAAACTAAAGGGTGTGTTTAGTAAAAGTAGTCCATATAGATGGGACCAACATATATGGACTTTATGTAACCTTCAAAATGTATATAGATAGCAAATAGTATTATGGGTAGCTTATTAGGAGGAAAGAAGAAGTAGAGACAAATAATATATTTTATTCTCTATGGACAGATCATATGCTTATCGATAGTTTTTGTTATTTTTTTACTATGGACTAGTTCCACAGTGTTACTAGGTGGTTGAATGAAATATTATATTGCTTATATACCACTTTTGGACTACATTGTGGATGCCCTTAGCCTGAATAGGAGATGGCCGCCGATTTTTTCTGTTTGGTGGATTGGGTCGTCCGGAATAGGGAATATTCCTTCAATATACTGGATGAGTGCATCTGGCCAATTTGGCTAAATGAAGCCATTGAGTTTTGGTCTGGGTGATGTGTATTGACTGTGGTTGGTTTTATTCTCCGTTAAATAAGCTCAAAATGATTTTTCTCTCCTAAACCGTTTATCTATGATTTGATTACACAATTATATTTGTAACAATTAAATCTTGTATGATTATATTTTGATAAAATAAAAAATATATATGACAAATGGGTCCCAGTAACTTTTGACTTTTCCCATCCATGCTATATCCCTCTAACCAAACAAGAAATTTGGTTATTCTATCCATACAAACCAAACAAAAAATTGGATCATCGTATCTAACAAAATATGGATGGTCACATCCCATCCATGCATGACCGTGAACCAAACACACCCGATCAGAACCGGTAATTTTGGATGTTATAAATCCAAAAATGTGAACTTTGAATTTTATGGAACCAATTTTATCATTGATATACAAAGTGAGCATAGGTCAATTGGTGAAGTTTCTTGTGGTGAAACTAGCACACTTAGATTCAAGTCATAGACTAAGCCGGTGCTCGTATTTATAGCTAATAATTCTTTTAGTGGTGGGGGGCGTACTCGTCGACAGCTAGACACATGTGGTGACTTTGTCCGTTGTGACCGTTAACATTTATACTGTGTTTCTAAAATAATGCCTTTGATATAATATTTTTCATAGAAAGTAGTTAAATCGTAGTTGCATTATAAATTATCTACATTTACAATGAGTAGTTAAATCGTAGTTGCATTATAAATTATCTACATTTACAATGTATTTATATATTATAAATTTTAAAAATCATATTATGATTAATTGTAAATTTTAATATTACATTGTAATTTTTGTAATAAACGACAAAAGATAAAAAAATGAGTAAGCAACGACGAACAAAAACACATGCATGTTGCAAACCACAGGGCGTAAGATCAGGCATGTCGCACAGTCGCAGGCTCGCAGCACAAATCAAGGGCCAAAAAATCGACTGTTTTAGGTGAGGAAAAACATGAGACACAATCATAGCAATTCTGTCTATTTTTTAAGTAATAGATATAAAAATCAAGCATATATAACATTATCTAAAAAAAATCAAACATATATAAGCTCTAGCTTTTTCTTCTGTTCCTTTTTTTTTCTTTGCTGGACTCGAGTTTCTCGCAAAGAGGGCCTACTTGTGCCTCGTTACACCCTTTATCCCTGTTTGCGTCTTTGCTATGGTTAGTTTGGTCGTCACGTTGTGTAAAAGCCCTCAAATTTCGTTAAGGATTTTGCACGTTCGTGAAAAATTCAAATTTTGACAACTTACGAGTCGTAGGGCAATAGATGAGGCCTTAGTAGCTCATACCAGGGATTGCAAAACCGTGTGGTTATCACGTGGTTAACCTTCTCAGTTTTTAAACCATGGTATACCTCAAAATAACCGCTAAATCGTAGGGTAACGGTAACCCCCGCCCAAAACGGTTTGGTAAACCCTGACAGTACTATAGGTCAATAGGATGAAATATCCATACAATTAATCACTCACTAATGCTATATTATTATCATCCATTTTAAAAAAATACTCTCATACTATTTTTATTTTAAATATAATAAGAAACTATATATGTTCTCATGGTCTTTCATATTGTTAGAGATTACCCAAGAAAGTAAAAGCAGCGCATACTTTTGATGAAGGGAATTGCAACGGGTAACTGGTATAACTGTTTCAACATCTAAAACACACAAAGTACTAGCTTTGCCGAAATTTGGCTTGAAATTGAAGTACACAATCGACAAATTAATTGGCAACACGGACATTTTTTTGGGCGTTTTGCCAAACACTGACCTAGGGACGGAGAGTGACACGAAAGGAAACTTGTTATTTTTGCCAAAAGTGAGCAAACCTAGCTAATGTCACCATATATATCAGTCGTCCCTCCGCCAAATTTTTTGAAGGGATTTCTTTTTTTGAAGGGAATCCCTCCGCCAAATTGAGTCTAACTCTAAGAAATTAATTAAAATCAGTAGGCAAACATTAACAACATATAAGTATAACCCGCTTCAAATAACTGAACCGTACAGCCCATACAATAACTAGAGCTGCACATCAAGCTAAGCCACAGCTGGGCCGGCAAAGCATATCCTAGCTTAATTAAGGTCTGGGTGACTGATCCCGGCGACGAAAAAGCGGCCGGAGGCGGCGTCCTGCGCGGCGTAGTAGACAGTGCCGGGGCACACGTGGTTGTGGATCCCCTCGTACATCGTCACCACGTACCGCGGGTCGTTCTTGTCTCTCTCCACCCTCTTCTTCACGTTGCACCCCTCCGTCGAGCACCGGTAGTAGTTCCTGCAATAGATTCAAGTCACCATGAAATTAAATTAGTACTCTTTCGTAACAAAATATAAATATTTTTAAACTCTAATACGGTCTCTGAGATCATACTTTAACCAATGACCAAACATTATTATAATAGTTTAAAATAAACAATATTAAGATGTTTAAATAAAAAGAGTAACATATTATAGTTTGTTGAATGATAAATCTATACTAGTAACATCAATTTTATATGATTGATATTTTTTATATTTTTGCTATTACTAGAAAAAATGCCCGTGTGTTGCAATAGGTGAAGTCTATTTTAATCTTATTATTGTTATATGGTTTAATTAAGATAAAATTCATTGTGTGAGTTCGCTTAGATATATACTTTTTTAGAAAATCATGAGCCGCAGTTAGTAGTCTGATCGTCTCAAGTTAGCATGCGAGTTTTTTTAAACAGATTTCTTATATGATTCTTTCTGTATTACTAAAAGTGTATGATCTTCAAAACCGACTCAAATACAGATATGTATTTTCAAAAGCAACCGAACTTAAAAACCAACTCATACACGAATGACGTACCAAAATACCTGCAAAAACATCTTCAATTTTTATAATAGTAGAGAATGGTTAAAATTTAAAATGTTTGACTTGTTATTATGCTAAAAATATTTATATTTTGGGACGGAGGGATTACTACATATTATGCATATGCCTAGACTGAACTGAATTGATTCCGTAGGCTAAGCTGTTGATAATTGGTACTACTCCTCATTATAGTATGCATTATAGTATGGTTATTATTGTTAGCTAGGCAGTACAGTACGTAGCATTTTGTACCTCGGATTAGGGCTGTTCTTAACGGACTTTTTCCCGTACTTCCTCCACTTATACCCGTCGTCGAGTATCTCATCGTCCGACCTCGTCCGGAATGCGATCTTGTCCGTCGTCGTCCGATCTCTTCCCTCGCCGGCCACGGCCGCCGCCGCCGCAGCCACGCTCCTGAGATGTCGTTGTTAAGTTCCCCAATCCGATATTCGATCAAAAAAATCCGCACTCCGATCGAGCAAAAATTAATTTTACACGCGCCCATACAGCAAATGGAACATGTACGCGTGTGGCGTGGCTAAGAAGCGCACCTCGGATAGCCGCCGGCGGCGGCAACAGCATCCGGCACGACCGGTTCAGCGGGGGCCATCGCCGGCGCCGGCGTCACGTACGACGCGCTGGGCACAGCCGCTGGTGGTGGCGCCGGAACGCCCTGATCGTCGGACAGGTAGTCGAGGAGGTCGAGATGCTGCTGCCTAAACGCCGCGCCGAAGGTGGGAGCAACGTACGAGGCGGCGCCGTAGCCGCTGCCGGAGCCGGAGCCGGAGGCGCCGCCACCGTGCGGCGCCGCGGAGGGGCGGCGCGCCATCCAGCTGCCGCTGAAGACGGCGTCGTACTCGGCGTGCGAGCCGTGGCGGCAAAAATTGAAGGGTGTGCTTGCTCCCGCAGCCGCCGCCGCCATGTACATCGGTACACGTGCATGTGGGTTGGCCGACTCTCTTACGTGACACGCGCCGAAGAGCCGTCTACTTATAGAGCGCGTGGGCGGGCGGGCGACGTCGGTGGGCTTCGCACCGAGCTTCCTGGCTCGAGTCGTTGGATGAAGCTTCGGCGCGCGCGACCGTGCGCGAGCCGCCCCGTTTCGAATTGTTTTGCTTTGATGCCCCGCACGGCCCTGCCACTTACAGCAACTTGGGGTGTGTCATGACATGGACTCGTGGACGTCGCCTTTTGCCTATTTGCCTTTGGTATTTGCCCTCGTGTGGTAAGGTGTTTTGGACTTTGGGGGCGGCGTGGGGCTGGGATGATGGGATCCGGGGCCAGTGGAGCCACGAAAGTTGCAGTAAATCCTAGTAGTTCCCACTGTTCCTGAATTTATGCATGTCTAGCTTAACAAGTACTCTCTGTATATGGCTTAACAAGTACTCTCTGTTTCAGGTTATAAGATGTTTTGACTTTGGTCAAAGTCAAACTACTTCAAATTTAACTAGGTTTATGCATAAATATAGTAATATTTATAAATAGTTTCATTAAATTAATAATTGAATATATTTTCATAATAAATTTGTGTTGAGCTAAAAATATTATTATTATTTTCTACAAATTTGAAACAGTTTGACTTGAACCAAAGTTAAAACGTCTTATAATTTGAAAGGGAGGGAGTATTAAGGTTAAAGGGTAAGATTCTCACCATTTCAGCGGTCGAAATTCGAATTTTAAATTGCTTGAATTCCTTAAGATTTTAAAATCAAATATGATTATCATTGGGGTTTATAGGCCTACGCTTACTCCATTATAAGCATGTTGCTTCTCCCCTCTTAATTGTCATTTATCATCGATATATTTTAGATGAACCTTTCTTTTTTGAAAATTCCATATTTTTGTTATTTTGAAGATGGGCCAATAATGTTGTATACGAAATAAGCTATACTATATTCATCTCAGAATATAACAACTTTTAGATATGCATATGGACATATTCTTATCTAGTCAGAAGTTGTTTTATTTTGGGACAAATGTAATATTTGTCAAGAAAAATGAATGATAGTATGCCAAATATAATTTTATTTTAAAACATATTAATTGCACGTAGAACTGTGTGAAAAAATTGCTAGTTATAGTTTATCTATCTATTATATTATTAAAAACAGCTTTGAAAGAAGGCACCACGTTCGCTGTAGGGGATAGAAATTTTCACATTAATCGGAAAAAAAGAAAAGAAGAGTCCAAGTAAAAATACATTTAAAAATAGCTGAAATTCGGAATTAAAAATAAGCAACATTGAAAGAAGAGCCCATATAAGAACCCAATACAAGATTAATCAAAATTCAAAATAAAAATAAAATGAAAGAAAAAATTAGAAAAGAAAATAAGAGTCCAAGTAGGAATACAATTTAAAAATAACTGAAGGAGGCACCACGTTCATTGTGAGGGCTAGAAATTCCCATATTAATCGGAGAAAAATAAAAGGAGAGTTCAAGTAGAAATACAATTTAAAAAAAATACTGAAATTCGAAACTAAAAATAAGCAATATTGAAATAAGAGTCATATAAGAACCCTATACAAGATTAATTAAAATTCATAATAAAAAATAAAATAGTATCCAAAATTAGAAAAATTAAAAGAGTGTTCAAGTAGGAATACAATTTTGAAAAAACTGAAATTTAAAAATAAAAATAAAAAAATTAAATGAATACTATACGGTATTAATTAAAATTTGAAAAAAAACATAAATTCTGAAATTAGAAAAAGAAAAGACCATCCAAAATACATGACAAGATAATTTAAGTTACAGGTCTATAAAGGAGTAGAGTGGTGGCGGTTGATACAACATATAAAAACTGTTAATAAAACACAAAATAGAATCCTAATAACAATTAAAAGTATGGACGACAAGCAGGCCATGAAGCAAACGGGCAAGGCGGTTGCCGGGACTTCTAGAAAGTAAAAAAAATATAATCATATTCGATTTTTAAAATCTCAATGATAATAAAGAGGAGAAGCAACAGGCGGGGTGTATAGGAGTATAGTTGCAGAGCCGCCGACCGTTGGCGGGACTTCTAGAAAATAAAAAATGAATTCCAACGTTAGTTATGTTCGACTTTTAGAATCCCCATGACAATAAAGAGTAGGCGGTGGATAGGCCGTAGAGGAGTATAGTGGCATCGTTTAACGAGACTTCTAAAAATTATAAAAAATGAAACCCAACAAGATAATAAACTCTAAAAACTACAAGGTCCAATTTTTAAAGGTTCAAAACTTCTAAAAAGTAAAAAAAAAATTATAATCATGTTCGATTTTAAAATCTCAATAACAATAAAGAATGGAGGCAACGGGTGAGCCATAAAGGAGTATAAAGGCAAAGCCGCTGATGGTTTGGCGGGACTTTTAGAAAGTAAAAAATGAACCCGAACGACAATTATGTTCGATTTTTAAAATCCCAATAACAATAAAGAGAAAAGGCAGTGGACGAGCAGTAGAGGAGTATAATAGCAGTGTTTGACATGACTTCTGGAAACTATAAAAATGGAACCCAACGAGACAATAAACTCTAGAAACTATAAGATCCAATTTTTAAAGATTTCAAGGAGAATGAATAGAAATAGTGGTAGATCGAGAGAAAATAAAGAAGGATATAACATAATTAAAGGGTAGTAGCTGGTGTGACTTTTAAAAACTATATAATTAGAAATACGGGGATGATAAGATTTGGTCTTTCAAAGTCTTAAGATAACGAGATAGCTATTTTAATAAATTTTAAGTAAAATCATACAGAAAAATATATGATTTTGTTTGGATGCTAGCCGCGCAATTGCGCGGGCCACCCACAGCTAGTTGCATTTATACCAAAATTATTTATACTGCTCACACACCCATAAGAAACAATTTGATATCCGTTTCGGTTGTTGTTTTGGCGAAGCCCATGAATCCGATGTCAATTTGACAAAGCCCACCGAAACTGATTACAAATAGTTTTTTTTTTAAAAAAAAACTCCACACTTACCGGGTTTTTTTTCACTATTTGTCAAGTAAAACAGTAAAAAATAACTTCACATTTACGGATGAAAAATAGTAAAAAGGAACTCCGCATTGTAGAAAAACGTACTTAAACTACCTCCGTCCTATAAAGAGTGTAGTTTTACACTGTTCATATTCAATATATGACTGTCCTTCTTATTTGAAAATTTTGGTATAATTAGTATTTATTATTATTATTAGATGATAAAACATAAATAATATTTTATGTGTGATTGATTTTTTTCATAATTTTTTTAAATAAGACGAACTGTCAAACGTTGAATACAGAAATCCAAATCCATAGCCACACTTATATTGTAACGGAGGTAGTATTGAGCTTCTGATCAATTACCCCGGCCCTTCTTTCAGGTCGCTGTCACCAAGAATGAAAATTTACATCTGCTGCATAGGAGTACATAAAGTCATCGACTCATTGCTCATGTAGCCGGTTTTGCTGAGACGTATGCATGGTCCGTAAGTCCGAAGCTCTGTTTAATTTAGATTTTAAGATCATCTAATTGATTATATTTAGTATTAAATTAAATAGTTCAAGAAATAAACGTGAAAAATATATTGGGAACCTAGGCTGCCGAACACAACCTAAGGCCCCGTTATTTCTCCAAACCGTTAGTTCTCTCAATTTGGAGAGACATATATTTTCGATGCACATAAAATAAGAAAATTTATTAGCATGTCACTAATTTTTTTTTTGCGGGGAAGCATGTCATTAATTAAATATTAACTAAATAAATCATGGCTTGTGGCTTGCCTGCTTGGCTGCTCCTCCTGAAGTCCTGATGCTACCGTCCGTGCCCCATGCATGAGTCCAGGACATGTGTGGCTGTCATCTGCTTGTACGAACTGTGATCAATTAATCGTTGAAAAGGAATCGATCTGTGGGATACAAAACTTGATTTGTAGTGTTCCCTAGCTGCCTTGGTAGGCACGCTGCACGCAGGACTTCAATGGTGGCAATTGGCATATTACTAGAGGAGCTTGTCTTGCCATTTCATGCATCATACTCCTATATATCCCTTTCGATACCGACTTTCGAGCATTAATTAACACTGTGGCAAATACTATAGGAGTAGCTCACAACAAATGACCTGGTTCGAATGATGCTAGCCACTCTCGATGCCGTCCCTGTCGAGTTCGCTGTGCTGCCATATATACACACCGAGTGACAGAGAGCACCGAAGCCACCATGCACTGTAGGTTTAACGCCAACCAAAGTTAATGTCGCTGGAACCAGCCAGGAACACAGGTTGGACAACACATGCATGCACAACACTGGAACTGCATGAGTATTGCAATTGCCACAGTAATTAACAACCAGCCAAATCGTGTTTCTAGAATAGTAGTATACGTCGAATACGTACGTAGCTGTAGTTACCACCTTTCACTTGAGCTGATCATATTTTGTTCTTGTCTGTAACCTCGCTGTCTCCTCACCGACGTCTAGGATTAGTCGTCCTAGTGATCCAAGCACGAGGAGTGGCGGCCAATACTCCAGCTCAAAACATTGCATTTTGCAACCTGCAGCTACTGTCTCAATGTATCTGTAGTTTTCAGAGATTAATTTTCCTCCCCCCTTCACTATCCACGTACATCTGCGGATATAATCTGGTGGCCACAAAAGCGTCGAGCAGAGATTAATTAAAGAGTTGATTGTTATACTACTTTGAACTCGTTACACGTGGCAATCAGGGGAGATGCATGCCGGCATACTATTCTGGAGCACGCGGTTAACATGCGCTGAAGTTCTTTTGACATAACATGGGCTGAAGTTGACTTGGAACAAATTCAACACCACGAAAAATTCGCATGTAGTAGGGTATGTTTAGTTCATGTGAAAATTGAAAGTTTGGTTGAAATTGAAACGATGTGATGAAAAAGTTAGAAGTTTGTGTGTATAGAAAAAAATTGATGTAATGAAAAAGGCAAAATCTAATTCGCGCGCGCTCTCTGTTTTGCCTTATCCCGCGACACGCTCATCGGCCGTCTGACCCCACAAGCACTGGTGCGTCTGTACATGGCCTGGTGATTCACGGACGTGGCATCATCCAGAGAAATCCAAATTGAAAGCCATGTGATGCTCTACGCTACGCCGGCTTCAAAAATGATTCTCTTAAACTAATCATCCGATCTACGATCCGATTAAACCGGTGTGTTCGTAAGAATTGAATCTTTATAACAAGATCTCACATGATTATATTTTGATGAAAAATTAAAAATTACTTTTATAATATATCTAAATTACTTTTAGATTTCACTAAATTACTTATTAGACCCATAAAAGTAAATTCAATAAAGCCTAAAAGTAATTTACATATATTATAGAAGTAACTTAGAAAAAAAAAGAAAGTAACTTTATCACGACATTAAAAGTAAATCCGTTATGGAGGTAAAAACATGAGTCTATATAGAAATTAAATTTAATCAGCACAATTTACATCATTAACTAAAAATGATTATGAAATAAACAACTCACAACATGAATTATAGATTTCTTTTAATGCCATAACAAGTTACATCACTTTTGTTTTAAGTTCTATAATATAGGTAAATTACTTTCAATCTTTATTAAATTACTTTTATGACTAAGAAGTAATTTAATGAAATCTAAAAGTAATTTAGATATATGATAAAAGTAATTTCTATTTTTTCATAAAAATATAGTCATGTGAGATTTTATTATAAAGATTTAATTGTTATGAACAGAATGGTGTAATCGAATCGTAAATCGGATGGGTAATCTAAGAGAAAATTCCATAAGAAGAAAAAAATACAAGCACTTTTGAGTATACTAGTAGCAACTAGATATGAGATTGAGGTAGCTAGTTATGACCATACAGAGAACGGTCTCGTTATAGACACGTCCAATAAAAAAGTTGGAGGTTTAAAGAAAAATTTTAGAAAGTAAACTTGGCCTAAAAGGTTATCCTTCCGGCCACTACTTTTGCAGAAAGTTCCCATCACCACTGGCCTGGCAAGATCCGGGAAGAAGGTCAAATGTCCCGATTCACAGAAGAAACATAAACTGTCTTTAGGATAGTATAACCAATGCAGAACAACGTGGCGCTGTATGAGATATATACTCCCTCCATCTTGAAGAAAAGAACAACTTTTACACGTGAACCTGAACATAGAACACTATATCCAGACTCTAAATACGAGAAAGTAGTTTTGTTGCTGGATTATATATTGACGTGGATAGTTTATTTGATGAACATGATAAATTAGTTAGTATTTAAAAAATAAACTTTATAGATGGTTTAGAATAGGTGGTCTAATCAATACAATAGAAAAATGTGTCTTATGAAATTATATTCAGAAGTATATATAGAGTAAATAATTCATGACAAATCTAGAAGCACAATTGAAAAAAGAGATAATCTATTTTATACCTCTGAGTTTGTTCGAATTCAACAGCGTGCTTTTGCTCAAAGTAGAGAGACAACACAGTTACGGAGATTTGTTTTAACACGTAGTGTCCTCGACAATAACTGGGGTGGTGTCGCACCATGATTTGTCAGCAAGAAAGTTTGTTCCCTCGTGCGATTTGAACAGCCACTCGCAAATAAGCAAACAGCGACCAACCGCCAATAACCGACCTTGCCATTCTCCTATTTACAGACAGTTAGAATGTCAAAGAAACAAGCGCATGCTGTGCCGGATTTGTTTTTAGTGCCAAATGTTTTGAGAAATTTTCACGACTTAACTGGATGGCATGAGAAACAACTACAGCATGTGCTCTCGTGCTAAAGAAAACTTTCCATCAATACGAGCAAGAGGCCTAAAATGCCATGAAAAGAAAAAACAATAACTCGCATTCTTTGGTTGCAAAGGCAATATCACGGCATCATAATGATTCAGAACACAAAGTTGAACAGTTAACAGTAAGTCATCATAAAATTCGTAACGTTTGAATATTTCAACCAGCAGTATAGCGTTCCAACTTCCAATACTACTGTAGCCAAACACCCTCCAAACAAAAGCAACGAAAATCAAATATGACTATCTCAAACAAAAATTCAACGCCTCGGAGGACAAGTTATAACTGCACGGATATAATAAGTTAAGGCCATGAGATAAACAGCAGATAGGGCATTATTCCAAATTATCAGCCTCTGTACATTCTTATTGCCCAATTGGAGGAAAAGGACTCCGCATGAGTACTCTTGGGCCAAAACAGTAGTGGCTAACTATCGTACAATGACTACAAAAGGGAGTAGAATGGCCGCATAGGAACCTTAGTGTACATCAAAGAATGCACAACATCACTTCAAAAAAATATCACAATCAGTAAGCATAACCTGCAACGGCAATAACTAGCTGCTAGCATGCACATCCACTTCTCTGTTCAGCCTCTGGAACAGGATCTGGAACAACCGTCTGGAAGTAGCTGAAGGCCAGGAAAAATGACGGTGAGTAACCAAAAAAGATCAAGCTAGATCTGTCGAAACAATGTAACGAAACCATAGCAAACACAAGAATGAAAAGGATAGGAATAGATTACAACTATCAGTATTAAAACCAACAATAGAGTTATGTGAAATGCAATGGCATGGATCAACTAGTGGAAGTTTTATCGTTTCATATTGTCTAGATATCTCTATGCCAATCTGTCCACACAGAACACAACTAATATGGTGGACAGTATTTCACTCTTAATCCTCACACATTAACAGAGACATTCTTTACTTATTTCAGTTCAGATATGCCATTGTTAGCAGCACATTTTTTGTACATAAGTTCACCGATAACAGCAACACACAAAAGGGTAGCAACAAAACATTGTATCATTTAATAATAGCCAAGCAGACATAACCTTAATAATTTAAGAACACATGACATATGAAAGTACTAGAAGTGGTGGGCAACTGGAAACGAACGGCACACACAATGATATTTAAGAACTGAAACTACCAGAAATATTTATAAAGAACATCTACACAAGCGACTAAACAAACATTAGCCCATAAGACAATAGCTGGGCGGTGGGTGAGCTGTAAAACCTACCCAACTAAGTAAAAAATAATGTGCTAAATGGGCAAAATCATCTCTAATTAAGAAAGGACCTTAATGCTTAGTTGAAAACATATAAATAAATCAAATGTAACTAAAATGCTAGTATATATAGTAAATTCTTTAACAAAATATTCAAGGAAATTCACATATGCATGACATAAGCTTACACAGTCAATGTTTTCGACAAGACAACAAAGAGAGGAAGATGATTCTACTCACATGTCCTGATCACGCTCATGCTCTAAAGCAAGCTTAGCGACAGACAAGAACGCACTGTCGACATTGCGGTCCTCTTTTGCAGAAGTTTCAAAATAAGGAATATTGCCTTTGGATGAACACCACTCCATTGCTTTTTTCTCAGAAACCTGTGTGAATAGTAAGTATGTAGTCCCACATATAGAGGCAAAAGTTGATAGTATACTTGAGAAACTCACCACTCTGCTTTTCCCTCCATCTACGTCAATCTTGTTCCCAAGTAAGATGAATGGAAAAGTTTTGGGATCTGATGGGCTAGCCTAAAAGGAAATGGAAAAGCATCATGCCAATTAAATTAGTCAATAATTTACAGGATGTTACATGAGATGGAAATGCAATATTACAGCTAATTTGATATCCAGATCAAAAGAAATAATTTAAGCATTAGTCAATTTAGAAAATTGTCCACCCAGAAGTTACATTGAAAATTTAAGTACTAAAAGGTATTATGCCAGCAAAAGTTTGTAACAACCAAAATGTACAGATAGTATCTATGCACTTGGTACATAAAACACATTCCGCAGACAAAGTGAAAAACATTAGTGCTTGGAGAAAGGAGATAGGACCGTAAAATTCTCAATGAACTCAGCAAGGACTGTAGAATTATGAAAAATCCCAACACTCAAGCCCAATGAGTTTTTTATTGAGTATTACAGGCTTATTCCTCCAAATGGTAACATCCAATTACAGGCTTACAGGTTGCACCTTCAAATAGCAACAAGCACACTTGACTCAGTTGCATAATTTGACATAAATAAATAGCTGAGAGCAAGAAGTCCATCCAAAATTATGACCTCCTGAGAAACATAGTTGTTTTTTTATTGATATCATTCTACTGATAAGGTTTGACTGATCAGAAGAAAAGTTCTTGCAGTATCATCATAGCTGCCCTTTAATACACAAATCCTTCTATGGAAATCTAAAATGAAATATGCGAAAACCTTTAGAAAATACTGGCTTTGAATTCATCAAGAATATAAGCATCAATATAATACTGCCATTCAATGATATCATTAAAGGATAAGTGGAGGTCAGGACCTCAGTATATCAGTAGTTTTCATTACTTTGAGATCTTCACACATTTGATAGTTATGCACTAAGGTGGACACCTTGCCAGTAACAATTACCAAAGATCTAAACCCTCCTCAACGCCATGCTGTCATTGGTGATCAAGTTAGGCAGCTATGGGCTAGTCAATGTTTAAGACTTCAAGGAGAAAACATAACTTGAAATTCAAAAGGTAAAGCTCATATAAACAGACTGAGTTTCTTCCTTGACGCAACACCAAAGTCATCATACGATACTGACAAGGATGAGTTTCCTTGTCTCTGAGGCGGTCACTCCGCTAGCTATATAGCTGCAGCTTATCCCCTTCTGAGATATCTGATGTCTGAGGACATGGAAGTATTTCTGGCAACTTGGACAGCTTATAATAATGTTCGTCCCGCATATCAGACAAAAGATCAGGTAAAAAATGCTATCTCAATTCATATTTAGCCCCAAGCAATCTACGTTTGTGATCTCATATATTTCGCTTCTCCGACATCTTACTTACTTTCCCCCTCATCTTTTAGCAAAAAGCCGCTCCACAGTAGTAAAGTCTCATCTTTTGTATTGGTTGAAGTGACAGTAGTCACATTGAACACTCGAATATGCTCGAAGATCTCAAATTGATCTTCCAGTTCAGAGGAGGCTGTAAGCCTGTAACCATATATAAGCAACCACGAACTATACATCAACAGAATCAATTAATTTCTTTTTGGCCTTATCTTTACCCCTCTTTTCATTAGATAGTTCCCCATTGGATGCTACCAGTGCAACATTGAGTGATTGTTCAGATCACAAGAATCGTCATCAATAGTTCAATATCAATCAATCGATGAAGAAAAGATGCACCCCATGAACTGAATCACCTGTCACTTGCGGAAATCGCTGTTGAGAGGGGGTGGGAGAGAGAGAAGCATTTTAAATGTGGAGAAATGAGCCGCCCAAACCCTCCAGGCTCCTAAAAAGCTGATCTTTTTTTTTTGAGAGAGAGAGGCAACAATGGTCTTGATTTACAGTCATGGAGGTCTGTTTACGATTGCGGTTGTTTGGTTAAATTCCTTACAATGGTCCGTTTATGGGTATGGCGATTCATTTACTGTCACAGGGTTTGTTTATCCTCCTGGTGGCTAATTTACAAGTGCAGGGTCACCAGAGCACAGGGGCACAAGCTGCACAAGGGAAGGGTGCAGTTTAGCTAGATGTTTGAGCAGACACAGCCCCCTGAGCACCCAATAGCAGAAGTATATGCTGTGTTTAGGATTATCATGCACAATCAGCAGAAGTATGCAAATATATGTCAGTTTGCATAATGAAACTGGATGTATTGTTATAGCATAAGCCATCCATAAATAATATATTCTTGGCAACTAGGATTATCATGCAGAAGCTTTGCCAGAACAAACACAGGATAAAAACAAATGTTAAGCAGCTAAGCATGAGCAACTTTCAGAAAGTTAGTGGCAACATCACACTAAGCTATCTTTTTTCGCCAGGCCATACACATCACAAAAAATCATAAATAGCTCTACAGCCATTGTCTACGACCATTGACTAAGCATCACAATGACATGAGATAATAACTTACTTGGTTGAGGAACTCATCATGCCATGTGTTGAGCGTGTCAAATGACCTGTTAGAATTGACGTCATAGACGAGCACACAACAATCTGCTCCTCTGTAAAACGCAACACCAAGACTCTGGAACCTCTCCTGCCCCGCAGTGTCCCAGATCTACAATTTAAGCAATCATGACAGTGACAACATTACAACAGTCACTCTATTTTCTCACTGCAAAAGAGCTGCTAAGGGCTAAGGGATCAAAGTCACCTGCAGAGTCACGAGCCTATCTTCAATGAGGACCTCCTTGGTGACGAAATCCGCACCAATTGTAGCTTTGTACTGCTGGCTAAACTTCTTGTGAACATATCTAACTAAAGTCAAGCATATCAAAGTGCCAACTACTGCCGTGAATCTAACATTTGATAGCAGCCACATTAAGATCCCTCATTACCTCAAAATCACACCAGAGATACTTCCCTCATTACCTCAAAATCATACCAGAGATTCAATGACACAAACGCACCAATACAAATGAAATTAGCAGCGCAGAAATGCAGCTAAGCACGATTCACAGCAAGCAATCCCAGAACGGCTCACAAATGCTTCAAAAATCGCAACGGAGCAGCACTAGGACGGGTTTGAAGAGAGAGAGAGAGAATGAATCAAGAAACGGGTAACTCCGCAGCGATCAAGCGAGATAAAGCTAAAATGCAGCAGCAAGGATACTGGTTCATAAGCGACGTCTTCCCCACCCTGCACAGATCAAACAGGGGTAAATCAAACCAGCACAGCACACCTCATACAGGTTACTGCAACCGCATCCAAATCAAGCCACTCGGGAAAAAAAAAACCACGAATCCACCGTCGCCGAGCGGAATCGAGGGGAGGAAGGGGGGGGGGGAATGGGCGCTGACCCGCTGTCGCCGAGGACGATGACCTTGAGGAGGGTCCTCCTGCGCGACGTCGACATGGATGACGGCGATCGCGATTCGATCTCCTCGCGGCCCTGTCGTCGCCGTCGTCGTCCCCTCGTCGCGAGGCGCACGAGGAGTTTGGGGGGGAGGCGAAGAAAAAAAAAAAAAGAGAATTGAAAAGAGCAAAGGGAGGCGGTGGTGGAGGATTTGATGTGTGATCTGGGATTCTTGGGTGCGGCGTGCGGCCTTTCGATTTGAAGGGGTGAAACGCTGGCTGAGGTGGCCGTGGTGTCTGAAGTCTGTGTACCCTTCGGCCTGTGTTCTAATGTCCAAATTATCGTTATTCACTCGTTTTTCACGTGTACACTTTCTAAATTGCTATATGATGTGTTTCTTAAAAAATATCCTATAATAAACAATTATATTAATATAAATTTTTAGATCTTTTAAGATAATGCTTAATTAATATGCAGTCCTGGAAACTTTTCTTCCGAACACAGCCCTCAAGTCCTGGTGAGATGGCCCGGCTCGCTGGGCCCACGGTACCACTCGGGTCTCGTCTCTCTGGGAGAAGCACTGCATTTCAAATGGGGATGTGCAAAATACTGATTCTGTGATTTTTTTTTATAGAACAATAAATAAAAGTTCTCGTGATTCTGTGATTCATGTAAGATCCTGTAAAATTCCTAAGTTCCAAAAGGAACTTGAAACTAATCTTTCAGAAGAAACTTAAAAGCTAATCTATACTCCAACATTCAAGTACCGGGTGAACATCGCAATTCGCTGCCCCAAGATCCCCGGCCAACAACCGAAAGTCGAAAAGCAACATCGAAAAGCATCGATCATTGCTGATCCAGCCTAGCCTAGCCAGTTCAGTACGAAAGTAATGATGGGTCAGGATAGAGTCTGAACGGCTCCGACCGGCAAACTGTTGAAGGATCACTCACCCAAGAAAATTGAGGAAAAGGTGTTGATCATCAATTGCTTTACTATATTATTTATGTGATAAAAAAAATATAATTATAAGTACTTTTGAATGCATAATCTAATAACATCAATTTTATGTTAAAAAACTATATCTGAATAGAGTAACTGTTGGTTGAAATCTTGTTCTAACGAAACAAAATGCATATTATATTTTGTGACAAACTCCAGAGCGCATGCAATTCGGCCCAGAAAAGGGTCTTACTCTGAGTAAATCTTGACATCCTGCAAAATGTAACTGCAGGGGTGACTTATTTTATCAGATCTTTGGAGTGAAATATACAAACGATGGTGAATTTTCACAATAGCCAATAGTCCTCAGAAGTCCACCGTGTGTCATGCCTCAAGAATGTACTGAAAGTCTGAAACCTTTGGCTTTGTATACCACCCTACCAGAGCTGACGATATACAAACAAGCAGAAATGCAAGTATACAATGCAAAAGTAGTGGTGAAAATATACAATGCGAACAGAAACCAACTTGGTCCCGTGCACCAACGTGTATTATATAAGGAAATGAAAGCGACCATCACAAACTTTTCAGCAAACACCATAAGATTGCTATGTGGATTAACATGTATATTTCAATCTTTCTGCTGCCCTATGCTAGCCTTTCTTTTCGGGCATGTACGCCTATTGTGCCCCTTTGCCGAGCAGAAACTACATGAATAAATACCTGAACTATGAACATTATCTTGTTTAACTATATAGCCAGAAGCACCAACCTCAACCTCAACGGTGGTGGATCTGGGACAGTTACGACGGTTGTGCCCCCTTTCACCACATTGGCTGCAGTGCCGAGGTTGTCGTTGACACTCATTCTCTGACTTTGGCTTTCCACATGTTCGGCTATTATGACCCTTTCCCCCACATAATCGGCATCTGAAATGCGCTCTGCCTGAAATTTCTCTCACTGTTGGGCAATAGAAGCTCCTATGACCTTCTTGCCCACATTTGCTGCAGAAGAATTTCACCCCTGCAAAGCATCAGGTGTCAAATGTTCTTCATGTGGACAAGAAGTTCCAACTTGGTAACAAGCAGAATATCCATGCAAAAGTGTACATTGAAGTAAGACTATAATCAATTCTAGTGCTACCAATTGAACTCAAGACAAAGAGAATACATAAACATGCTGGCTAACAATACAAGGACAGGAGCAGCTGGCAACAGAAATGGCCAAACTGTCTAAATGGACATACACTTCGCTAATGAGTAAATGAAAGGTAGATTTACCTTTCATGGCAATGCTTCTCTTAAGCCGATTCTCGGGATTGCTGAAGAATGCCTTTTGAGTTTCAGATGCATGCTTTCTTGCAGCAGCAGTACCTTTTGTTTTCTTCAAGTTCAGATACAAATTAAAAAAAGAGAGGGATAGTTCAGTGTCAATCAGATCATATCTAACAAGAACATATGATTACGACAGTTCTCCTTAAATCTTACTTTGATTGCAGCAACCCTTTGTGCATGCAATTTGGGGTCTTGGTGTATAATCTTCATATGCTTAGTAAACAGTCCTGTTTTAGCATTCAGACTCTGCAATTGTTATTAAGCTTTTTAAAAAGCCATAAGTAAAGATAGCAAAGCATATTGGCAGATAAGGTACAGTTTGGTATTCTGCATGTAAGAAAGCATCATCACTTACTCTTAAAGATCTGCTAATCTTCAGGGCAACTTCAGGGGATGGAGATGGGTAAGTACGCCTTGATCTTTTTGATGTGTTAATCTTTATCTCCAGTTTGTCGACTTCATCATCCTCTTTTACTTTCAAGGGAGAACTGCAAGTTGAAGAAGGGTAGGTAGCATTAAGAACAGGAATCCTAAAGTATTTTTCTCTAGCTATGTTAAAGAGCCATAAATAATTACTTCATTGGTCACAATTTTCCATAAAATTAAATGTCTACAGGAAATAGACAATTCAAATCACAATGAACATCTTAATAGCCTTCAAAGAAGTTTGCAACAACAAATCTTTCTGCAGTTACTCTAATGGGTAAAATGTCTGGCTATAACAAGCAAGTTGGTATAAGACTAAATTAAAAGATGCCGCATTCACCTGGAACGAACTTTCTCCCATGGTTGCTCATCAATAGATTCTTGCCATATAACACACTCTCCAGCACATTGCACACACTCCCTAATGCCCTGATAGACAAGCATAACAATATTTGGATAAGTATATGAAAGAACACATATATTTAGGAATATCATTTTCTTGACGCTGACTTACAGGCTACAGCATATCTGGCAGGCTCACCTTGCCATTGCACATAGGGCAGTCCAAACTGGATCTGTCTATCCCACACTGTTTGCAAGGAGTGTATCCTCTACCTCGACAGCTAGGGCAAGGCAGCTCACGATAGTATTGCCCATTTGGACCAACCCAGGACCTCAGCTTCCCCTTCTCTGCAACTGGAGCAGTATTCCTGCACCAAAAGACTACCCTTTTCAACACGCACTAACAGGGAACCGTTGAAGTCTTCCCTCAGTTCTCAAAGCTTTGATGGCACGTAATACACGATGCTCAGCTCTGTTGAAAGAATGCCATTTGCCATGGACATGATTTTCCTTCACCAAATTCCCTGTGTCTGGCAAGTTAGAAATCCTTTTTTTTTTCACCGGGTTGGCAAAGACCGACTGGAGTATATTAAGAAGGAAGAAAGAAGTTACAGATTTCATGGCACGCCAAGAGAAAAGGCGTGCTACAACAGCAACCCAGAAAGAAACCCTCTATTTACACTACGGCAAGCCCGCTTCCAGCCACGATTTCCACTCATCTTCAATTGACGCACAAAGATTCACCGGAGAGACTGCACGCCCCTCAAAGACTCATTGTGCTCTTTCCAAATTAGCCAAGTCACCAAGATGACGCCGGCATTGAAAGATCTTCTGCAGTTACAAATCCTATTTGAGAGGAAAGAAATTCAACACGCCTCTCTGTTGCAGAACTTGTACGAAAACATGCCAAGTAAGCAGCTAATTTTAGGTGTGATGTTTTATGTTTGCCACAAATTAATCCAACAAATGCATTCTCGGAAGTGATCAAAGGTGGAACCCTTTCTGAGACTGACTAGTACTCTACTTACCTCACCTAAACCTAATTCACCACTCCATAGTGGTGAAAATCAGATGGTACTCCACTATTCACGCATAGAATTGTGCAGTAGCTTACAACCTCACAACAACGCTTCATCTTCTATCTGAACTGTCTGACGATCAGCTAACACACGATCGAACAGTATGGAAGAGTAAACACGTACTGGGATGAGGTCGGGTCGACGTCTGGTCCAAGGAGGTCGGCCAAAGGATCGTAGTCGTAGTGGAGGGACTGCGGCGGCAACGCCAGGGTCAGAGCTTGGGAATGGCAGAGAACAAAAAGCTTCGAAACGGAAAAAAAAAATCACCCGAAGCAAGGGATACTCGTACCGGAGAGCTCGGAGCGCCGCTGCCGTCGGCGGACGAAGCGGCGGCGTGCCCTCGGCCGAGACGTGGTGCCGTCCGCGCCGCCCGCCCCGGGGGTCTCCACCGGGCGGCGGCCGCCGGCGCGGGGCCGCGCGCGCACGGAAGACGCAGCAGCATCCTGAACGGGAGCCGACTCGTGTGCTTGTGGAGTTGTGGTTGTGGTCTTGTGGAGCGGACGCGATGAGGTGGGCAGTGGGCTTGGTCCGTGCCAGATCGGTCGTACGGTCCCCGAGCTGCACTGGGTCTGTGGCTCGTGTTGCCGGCCCGCTCTTGTTGGGCCGCCACGGCTTTGGAGGAGCTACGGCCCACGGGCCGGCGCGTGCGCAGCTACTATGCGTGCAGAAGAGTGTGCGGTGTAGGGCGTGTAGCCTTGCAGGTGTGGTACACGGGAGTACGGGACAAATGCCCAAGAGGAGTAATCCCTCCGTTCTTATTTAAAAAATTTGTGTAAATATAAAAACTAAAAAATTGTGTTTAAATTACTTTGAATAATAAAGTATGTCACAAATAAAATATATAATAATTCTATAATATATAATAATCCCTTATATGATGGGACCGAGTAGTAAGTAGTAAGCTGTTGCGGTAGCTGACATGTGGGGCCAGCAGTACTGAGCCACCTCGCGCGGACCACGGAAGAGAATCCGGGGGAAGACGAACCGATTCCCTCGGAATGGCGGCATTGGCGGGAGAACACCGCGCCCTTCCGTCTTCCATGATATAAACCGCACACGGCACACACACGCACGTCGCCGCCGCCTGAGAAGTCGTGCCCTTCGAAGCCGCATCCATGGAACAAGAAGCCCCACCGGCGAAGAAGGCGAAGCCATCGCACCCGCAGGACGACGCCTCCGAGGAGGTTGGACCGTCTCAGCGCGCTCGATGACGGCATCGTCCGCGAGATCCTCGCGCGCCTCCCGCTCCGCGACGACGCGGTCACCACCGCGCTGTCCAGCCGCTGGCCCCGCGTCTTCTCCACGCTCCCGCGGCTCCGCCTCGGCCCGACCACGTTCAACAGCCGCGCCTCCCTCGACATCGGCTACTGCGACGACGACGACCGCTGGGTCGACGCCCTGGACCGCGTCCTCGACGGCCGCCTCTCGCCGGTCGCCGCGTTCGAGGTCGACGCCGACATGGACCTCCTGGAGGGCTACGACGACTGGTTCTACTCCTTCTTCCGCACGCTCTGCCGGAGCGGCGGCCTGCAGGAGCTCGCGGTGCGGAACAAGCACGTCCACGAGTGCTACGTCGTGCCCTCCCCGGTGTACGCCTGCGCGACGCTCACCTCGCTCGAGCTCGACGCGTGCCACCTCCGCGTGCCGGGCAAGCTCACCGGCCTGCGCGCCGTGCGCTCGCTCGTGCTCCTCCGCGTCGTCGCCACGGACGTCGGCCTCCGGCGCGTCGTCTCGCGTTGCCGGGCCGTGGAGCGGCTCGTGCTCGACGACTGCCACCGGGTGCGGAACGTCGTGATCCGCGGGTCAAGCCTCAAGCAGCTGGAGATCCACTCGTACCGTCCGCTCTGCGTCGCGCTGAAGAAGGCGCCTCACCTGGAGTCGGCGAAGCTGAGCCTCGGCTACGGCGTCGCCGAAGTTTCTTGGAGCATCTACAACAACTCCGATAGCGAGATCGAAAGCAAGCGCGGAAGTCTTCAGCTGTATGAGTTCGAGGCGCAGGAGAGGCGGGAGCAGAGGAAGACGGACGAGGCTACGAACATGGTGACATTTCTCAGCGGATTGAACTGTGCCAAAGAGCTGTATTTGTACTTGCCATATGAGTACGCCAAGGTCAGTGCTTTGCAATTGCAGGTTGTAGCTATGCTTCACCAGAAGCTCGTCTCACCTTATGATTTTTGAAACACAGTCATCTTATGATTTTTGTTTGGTCTGATTTGGTTAGATTAAATCATCACACTAAAATGACAATGAGATATTTACCATGATTGAATCATGCAAACTATGGAGCTAAATTTGGTGTGAAATGTCCTGCTATCAACGTGAAACTCTGGCATCATATTTCCAAGATATGGAAAAACAATTAGAAATTAGAAAGTCACCTCATCACTGTGATATCCTGACCCAATTAGGATGAGGCATGTGTAACCCATGAAAGCTGTGTGCGTATATTTAATACCATCTTGCTAGTTTAGTTTAGCAAGGGTGAAACCAACTTATAAGACATCTTCCCTCTAACCATATCACTACCGGGTTAACCCTTTTTATATGAAGCAAACACGAAAGCTACGTGATTCGATCATTGTGTAGATATTAAGAAATTCTGCTGACTGGCTGAGGTCAGGTTATAGTATACTCTCAATCCTTTTACTAGTATTTATCTGTTCATCACTTGTGTCATTCACTGTTTGCAATTATTTATGTTTGTAAGCATGCATAGGTTAGGAATTACAGTGATATTTGGATGAATTCATGTATTTAAACGAGTTTCCTGCTTTGAATAAATTTGGGCATAAGCTGGCGCTCTTGTTCTGTTTGCTTCTCTTATTTGCCATTAAAGATGATTTTGCATATACATTATATATATGATTGAAGTGTAACACTGTAACTTCTGTTGTTCTTAACACTTTAACAAGGTTTTAAGGAATACCAGCATCTCATTACCAATGAGGTTGCCCAAAAAATGCTACTTGCGTGGGCTGCAGAAGCTTATCCTTTATCTGAACACAACGACGGAGCCATTGCTCAAGTGGTGTCGTGCCTCCAGAACAGCTCTCCGAACCTCAAGGTTCTCGAGATCAAGAATGTAAGCACCATGCATGGAGACAAATTTCTTAACTAGTTAACTCCGCTAATTTGCATTACTTTCTTATTACTAACTCCTGTCCGTCACCGTGTTTGCTAGGATTTTTTCGATGATCGTCGCGCAAGCACTGACGTGCCGGACTTCTGGGAGAAGAACATGGGTGCAGCTGAATGTGTTCAGAATCATCTATCAACTGTCACCTTCTACCTGAACAGTGAGTGCTTCCAGGGACGCTCCTACATCGACCTCTCAAAGTTGCTGCTGATGCGAGCCAGGGCTGTCGAAAGGTTGAGCATCAAGTATCGGCGCTTGGAGGATCAGGACCGGTACTCCGCTGAGCTGGAGAGTGTCCAAAGCGAGCTCCCTCTGTGGCCTCGGGCTTCTCCGGGCGCGCTGGTGGAGATCCGCGCTGTTGACCGCCTACCTTCGTGGTATTAGATCGAGCTGCTAAAGAAGCACCTGCACCTGAAGACTTGTTCTTTTGATTACCTACTGTGTCATCAGTCATCATGGACTGATTGCACTACTGCAGTGTGCTTCGAACCACCGTATGGTTGTCACCAAAGTTCTTTCGAAGCACTGGTCTACGTCGTCAATATTACTACTATGAGCCTCTTATTAGTCACATCTTCAGGCTTTTGTGATGGCTGCCTATCAAATGAACCAAGTAACTAGAATGCTCTTTTGTGCTATCATGGCCGGCTTCTGTTGTGAGAAAACTTGGACCCAAGATGACTAAAAAATGGTTTCTTGATTGTTCTGACCATTTTCTTTGCGAGTAGTACTTTGCAAAGGTGGAGGCGTGGAGGATGGATTAGACTGTTTTCAGTGCCTTCTGAATCTGATAAAATGAGCAATTGTTGCGGATATAGGATTATCTTTGGACAGATTGAAGACCTCCGTTTCTGTTAATGGTGAGAATGAGGATGGCACGATTTTTCAATTTATTTTATAAAAGATTTAAAAAATAATTTCTCCATTTCAAAATTTTACAGGAATATACTCATCTCGTCCTACCGTAAGACGGGACATATAAATCACCTTATGATAAAGCAATCTATGTGACATGGCACCAAATGGGGAGGTGCGGCGTGGCAATTTTGTAGTCGCTCCCTTCCCAAGGATTAATCGCTTTAGGGGAGGACGATTTACCATTGGGAAGGAACCATCTGGCAATTAGGGCAGGACGATTTATTGTTGGAAAGGGTCCATCCACAAAATAGGCATGGCACGCCTCACGCATCACCAAACTTTGCATCCCTACCGCACGGGTGATTTATCGCCTGGAAAGGACCATATGCAAAATTGCCATTGCACACCCCTCCCGCGAGGTGCCACATCACATAGATTGCTCTACCGTCGGGGTGATTTATATGTCTCACCCTACGGTAGGGCGGGATGAGTATATTTTTTAAAACTTTGAAACAGTAATAAAAAAATAAAATATAAAAATATAAAAAAAATCAAGATCTCACTGGGGAACCAAGCCTGAGCATTCTATCGGGGAATAAGTTCACCGGAGGTCCCTCAATTTAACAGCGAGATTTTTTAGGTCCCTCAACCACAAAACCAGAAATGTTCGCCCCTAAACTCATTCAAACCGTTCACCGGAGGTCCCTTAGCAGTATACATCGGTGGTTTCGCTGACGTGGCATCCTAGTCAGCAAAAAAAATTAAAAAAATACGTGGGGCCCACATGTAAGTGAGAAAATGATGTAGGCCCCGCTTTTTTCTCTTCTTCTCTTCTTCTCTCCTCATGCGGGCAGAGGCAGGCGAAGCGACGGTGTTGGCGGGCGAGCGCGGTTGCGACGACAAGCGGCGGGCGAGCGCGGCTGTGGCGGCAAGCGGCGGTCGAGCAGCGGCTTCAGGCGCGGGCGAAGTAGGGGACGCGGGGGGCGCGACGGGGCGAGCGGCGATGGGCGAGCAGATGGGGGAGAGAAGGCCGGCGGCGGGGGAGGGGGAGAGAGGCCACCGGGGCGACGATGGCGGCGGGAGAGGTGGTGGTCGGCACCACGGCGAGCTCGCCCGGCGCGACAGGGCGGACGGCGGTGGGCGAGCAGATGGGGGAGAGAAGGCCAGCGGCGGGGGAGTGGGAGAGTGGCCACCGGCGCGACGGTGGCAGCGAGAGAGGAGGCGGTCAGCACTTCGGCGAGGTCGGTCGGCGCGACAGTGGTGGCGGGAGAGGTGGCGGTCGGCACTACGGCGAGCTCGCCCGACGCGACAGGGTGGGCGGCGGTGGGCGAGCAGATGGGGGAGAGTGTAGGATCAAGGAGGCCGACTAGAGGGGGAGTGAATAGGCGGTTTTAAAACTTAATGGCACTTAAACAAAAATAACCTAAGTTGCTAGGCAAGGTGAGGTGTAAGGTTAACTAAGCAACTAAGTTAAGTTTTGCAAACCTAAGTTTTCCTAATCCCCGTTGAGGCGAGCCCAACTCCACCGCTCAACCACGAAGCCACCGCACGCCCCCTTCGTCAAGGGATGGGCAAGGCGGGAGCCGGCCCACGGAGAGGACTACCCAAGCCTCGATCACTCGGGATAGTTCTTCCTTCACTCTGAAGGTGGTGAACTCCAAACCACTCACAAACGGCGTCGGGCCTCCTCCACAATCTCCTCGGAGAGGTCACCGAGCAACATCTCCACAAGCCGTCTAGGAGGCGGCAACCTCCAAGAGTAACAAGTCTAGGATGCTTGCCGAGGATGATCAAGTGCCACACTAGCTATAACAATGAAGCAATGCACTTGGATTGGCTTAACTCACTCTCTAACACCTCACTAGATAAACTAAATGCACAAGGGTGTGAGAGCTCTTGCAAGGGTTCAAGATAATGCAATGGAGTGCCAAAACCTTACCCTTGCTGCTGGGGAGTGGGTATATATATTCCTACCCACCAAAACTAGCCGTTGGAGTCGAAATCTCCAACTCTGTGCTCTGCCGGTCAGACCGCCATAGAATGGCCGGTCAGACCGGACTACTTTGTAACGGCTAGAAAGGGCAATCATTGAGCCCACTCAACCTGGCCGGTCTGACCGCGGTGTAGTAGCCGGTCAGACCGTGCACGGCTCGGTCAGACCGCCATCGGCTATGTCAGACCGCCATCGGCTCGGTCTGACCGGTTGTGGCTCTGGTGGCTCTGTATCGCCACCAAAAACCAGACCATTGCAACAGACCAGTGAGGCCGGTCAGACCGGCCTTACCACGCCAGTTAGACTGGCTAACAAGCCCGATCAGACCGGCCTAAGGCCCACGGTCAGACCTTAGGTCACTTTTCAGCTCAACCGACCGTTAAAAAACAGCGATATCTCTTGACTCGGGTCTCGGAATTTGGCGTTCTTGGACTCTATGGAAATCTTATTCAAAGGGCCATCCAACCCATGAAAAAACCATCCAAGAAACACAACTTAAGTCAAGGATAAAGGGTTCACACTCCAAAGGATATCCACCGGACATACCCACAAGATGTCACTCACTCCTATTGGACATGCCCACTTCTCTCTTGGTTTAGGACTTGAGAAAACTCATCACACTTGGCTAGACAAGCCCACCAAATGCACCTACATGCATATGAACTAATATGGCACAAGATCATCCACAAGCTCGCTTCATAGACCCCTCTTGATAGTACGGCGCCTATCTAGCAAATCCGGTCTACACCAAACACAAGACCGGGAAAAGACTAAGAAAACATTCTTAGCTACATTATACCTTTGCCTTGCGCCATCCATCTTGGGGTCAAGCTTGAGTCGAGATCAACACTTGTGACCATTTGATTCAACCATGTTTGTACCAAGGTATTTACCATCATTTGTCAAGACTTTCTTCTCATCACAAGCTTGATTTCATTCTTGTTGACACGGCGATGCCCTTGGCTTGGTGACCATCAACCCATGGTGTCATCCATTAGCCTCATCACAATTAGACCTATTGCTTTGCACATCTCAAAGAAGAACATTAGTACCAACAAATCGGTTGTCATCCTCCACTTGGTGACCAACTGGTTGCATATGAAAGATATGGATATGTTTGTTGAGTATTCATTAACATCGCAAGTGTCATATACTCGTATGCAAGCTCAAATGCAAAGATCCAATATAAATAATAGGTGAACAACGTGGATCTAAAACATGCACAATAAATGTATAGGATTTGCTCCCCCTAAATATATGCATACAAATAAATATACAAGAGAGGCAAGTGTATGCATAAGTTATGAAGAACCAATGGGGTTTATCCTATACACATGGAGAAGGCATGTAGCAGTGATAAAGATAAACCAAAAAACACATACCTTCATGATCTCCATGTTCTCAATGTAAAGGAGACTAAATAAGATAAGACTCAAGTAAACATTAGTCTCACACTTATATAACAATAACATGGAAATCATATATATGAACCTATCAAAAAGTAGGAGATAAGAAGTGATACATATCGCTTTATCTCCATGAATTTCATCCTTATCATGATTAAGGTCCATCACCAAAGAATGCATATCTACCACATCTCATTATCGGGAAATAACCTTGTTGAAAACTTATGTAAAAGAGAGGTTAATCCCATAAACATCGGTTTATCATCTATCACCAAAGCAACAATTACACAAATTGTTTAATCCAAGATCTTTCAATCTTTTCTCTCTTCTGTGATAGATAATAATCCAATATAAACAATATAGAGAAATGAGTTGAAAGATGATTTCAAATCAAGATAGAAATCTTATAATAAACAAAATATAGAATAACCTCCCCCCTCAAGATGTGCATACATATGGATATAAAGGAACACATATGCACATAATCAATCAAGATCAATGAGGGAGCTCACACTATATTTTGGATCCACAAGAGAGACCAAGTTAGAATATGTGAAGTTTAATACATACCTCTAATCATTTTTACTTTCATATCCAAATGAGACTAGTCAAAAAAAACTCATAAAAATGTTAGTCTCATATAACTAGATTTGTCATTAATCACCAAAACCAAATTAAGGCACTTGAACTTACAATCTCCCCCTTTTTGGTGATTGATGACAAATCCATTTATAATAACCACATTTGGATATGAGGGATATAAATCAACATTATATTGAAGCTTGGCAATTGATTTATATCCATGCATGTCAATGAGTAAATAGAAATGAAATATATGCCAATGACATGCTTATGCATATGATGCATATGTAATGCTATGATTTATGATCCTAGATTATTTCCCCCTTTTATAGCTATGATCATAAAGAGATCACATATATTCTGTCACGCCCGGAAATTCACTAGTAATTTCCGAACTTATTTGTGCATAAAATCCTCGCCCAGGAATCAGCCGAGGTACACAAACTGACAATTTAATATACAGATTCATCAAATTAACTTAAACGATACATACTTACTTAAGAGGCACTTAGTCCTCACCATGAAGAAAATTGCAGCGGAAAATAAAATCTAGCGAAGCTCCGGCTCCACTCCCACAGGCAGCTCAACTGGGGTATAAGCCAAATGTCTTCTCCTTCGCAACTTGTCTTCAACTGAGGTTGATTGATTATTGCAAGGTGAGCATATGACATACTCAGCAAGCCACACAGCAAATATGCAAGTGCACAAGGATACCAAAGGATGGCATAATATAGGCTCATTTGCAAAAGCAGCATTTAGCAAAACATTTAAGAGAAGTAAA